AATTGATCCTTGAAAATATGATTTTCTAAATGGGGAATACGATTCCCAGTTGAAGGGAGAGAAAAATTTTTGAAATTCGCCCCTTATTCCGCAATCTTTTGGGCGTCCATAGGATGGATCTCTCATTCCTTCAGTTTAAACGTACATACTTGTATCCATAGCAATAGTAGAAACCCTTGCGGAATGAGTGATGAATCAATGGTAGGTTGACTATGGTTTTCCTCAGTTAAATCTTCTTTCTTCCTTAGGTTTTCTCAGCTCTTGACTCTAATGGGGTAAAGCAAGAGGGCGGCTAGATGATTTAACATATTGAGAACCATAACCTAGGAGCCTTTATATTTTGACCTAATAGGATCCCATTATGCCTATATGGGCTAAAATGTGGTATCCACTCATTAAGCCCCATACCCTTTTGTTGAAGTCTACGGGCTTTGCCTAAATGAATCACTTGATTTAGCCCACTTACAAGATAGCCCATCAATGCAATTGTTTCACTGAATATGTAAGCCCACTTAATAGAGATTAAAACCTAACACACCCTACTCCGTCTCCACCCCTTAACGACAGATTTGCAAATTCATAAGAGGGTGACGTGGAGAATTCAGAATTGAAGCAATTACTTACTCTTGCAATTAGTTGATGGCCTAACATTGTGTGGTTAAGCTTTGATAGTTTTGAGAGTTTCCCTCTCTCTCTCTCTCTCACACACACACACACTCTGCTTTGAGAGAGTCTTTGTCTTAGGGTTTCCTTGGTTACTTCTCTTTGTCTAACCTTTGTCGTTCTTCTTCCGTCTTCGGTCATTTTTGGGGTGACTCCCCTCGGGGAGTTACCCCTATCCTCTTTATTTTCTTCTCCCTCTCCCCCTCTCTTCTCTGTTCTTCTCCGCTTCTCCCTTTCCTTCACTCCTTCTCTCCTTTCTTGATTTTCTTGTTCCACTTCTCTTATCTTTCCTCCTCACTTATTCTTCTCCTTTATCTTTTGTTTTTTCTTTCTGTTCTTTTATGTAGGGATTTTGATACAAGACTCTTCCTTGAAGATTTTGGTGTTGGGCAGTGGCCTTCATCGCTTCTTTGGCTTTCACCACCAGTGATTGTTTTCCGGAGTGTATTTCACCACTGGTTACAGTTCCAGACAGTTACAGTTCTGATGGTTATAATTCCGGCAGTTACAGTTCTAGTGGGCATAGTTCCAAATGGTTATAGTTCCGGCGGTTACAGTTCCAACAGTTACAGTTCTGGCGGTTATAATTCTGGATGGCTCCACTTTCTTGGTGTGAATCACTACTGTCCTTATCCCTTATTTTCGGTGGTTGGAGATGTACTCAATTATTTCTTCTGTTGGTAATTCTGCCTCACCTTATGCCGATTGTAGAAGTTCCTTTTTATTCTCCTTTATCCACAATCTATATTTTGTTGTTTCTAAAGATTTGTATATGCGCTTTTTTACTTGTTACTATGACTACTTCCTTGTATTCATACAAGTTTCTCTTAATTTGGATGAAATATAATTAGTTGATGGCCTCCTTCTGGGTGCTCTTAATGAACTTAACTCCAATGAGGACAAATCTACTTTTTGTGCTGGACTGCAATCATTCTTTATCATATTTGGTCTGTTCATAATGATTATCTGTTTGGGGATGTAAATGGACCATTGATAGAATAGTTATAAAAGTGTTTTATTCCTTTAACAAATGTGTTTCTTTGAGAAATTTGAGTGACGTTGGAGAGGTTTTCTTCTTTGTCTTCCCCTCTGTGATGGTGGACTTAGTTGTAGTTGTTTGGGTTTTTATGCTTTTGTTTGCCTTGCTAACAATGGTTCCTTTGTGGCTGTTGCAGGAGGGAAATGAGAGGTAAAGGCTTTCTATTCAAGAAATGGAATTGAAAGTATCCTAGCTACCGTTTTGTTTGCTCACAGTCAGGTTTTCTGCAAAATTATTATCTTTTTCAGATTCTTTGGTTGCTTTAAATTTGTTAGATTTTGGTTTAGGGGGTGTTCCTTGGGGGTTATATGGCAGCTGGTGGACCATATCATTAAATTGTCTATGACTTTTAAATATGTAGAATTTCTTAGCCCACGAGATGGCTTCTCGAGATAAATCTTTTGCTGAGGAGGTTAATTTGTTGAATAGTCCTTGTTTTTTTGAGAACTTTGTTATCCTCTTTTTTTGTTGGAATGGTAATTAACTGACTATTAGTTTTGTAAAAGAAAGAAAAAAAAAGCAGTTCGTAGGGTCCAGCAGTGTTCATGTGGGTTTAGTATTCTATAGTGATTGATTGAGTCTAAGTAAAGTTGTTGCTTTATTGTTGAAGAGTCAAAATTACCTCTTTATTGCTTTGAAAAGTGGTTATTCTCACCCGCCTCAGCATGCCATGTAATTTTTAAAATACTTATACTACCTCGCCTCCAAACACTCACTCATAAGCGCCTATTAGGATAAGCATTATCCAATATGCACTTTCAAACAATACCTAAATTGTGTATGATTAAAAATATTTTACAAAGGAAAATAAGAAAAATATTTGTGACAATAAATTTGAAAATGATGGGTCTGAAGCGTAAAAAAGTGTCATACTAAAACAAATTATTTTGATGATGTAAATTAAAAACTTTGTATAATATAATGAACTATGTAAAACTTAAAAAGGTGTGGAAAATTTGTTTATTCTCAAAGGTGTTGGGTAAGTAATTGAAAAAGAAAAATATTATAAAGAAAACAAGGACAGAATCATCCATAAGAGTAATGCCATAGAGGTGTTTATAAAAAAAAACATGATACCTATGCATGCAAGGTAAAGGTAAAGTTGTATATGATTCTAGAGGAGAACTAATTACAACCTGTGGACAGTTGACACCGCATAATAATTGCCCATGTATTGGGTAGTTGTTGAATCAGGCGCCTCAAGAAGATACACTGCACGTTGTGACACTCAAAAACTTTCACCCATGTTAACATGTTGAGGCTTTGAGGCGGTGCTGGTCCCTCCCAATTTCTCCTCAAGTTGGCAAGTCTAATCAGATATAATACCTGTAAGTTGGGTAAAACAACAGGATGATGACTTGTGGATGCAGTGGAACTCCCAGAAGACTCGTGATTTCCATTTATTACACTCTCTACTCTTTCACAGCCTTCAATGAATAAGACTTGTAGCCCTTTCATGTTTTTCACACCTATATCTGAAAGCTTTTTAGGTGTCCTACAACCATTTAATGATAACCAGTAGTTAGTGATAGGTAGCCCCTTATTGATGTTTGATAATAACTCAATGCTATCTAAAAATCTCAAATAATGCTCTGCATCAACAACTGTAGAAAATGAGTTCTGAAAATAAAGTGCATGACCCACACGTAGGTCAAATGTTTTCAAGCATCGAGTCTTCCATGCATCACTCTGCTGGATACATTTGAGATAAGATTCCAGGTTGGTGAAGTTGAAGTCAAGACGAGTTAAATGCTTCAAGCTGCTCACCTCCTCTGCTATTGATTCTCCAATCTCAATCCAATGTTCATCCAATCTTGGCCCATGAAGGTTCCACTTTTCAGAATCTATGTGTATTCGCAGGTGTTCCAGAAGAGATAACTTTGATAGCATCCCATGGGGAATCATCCTATTACCTCCCACCTCTGTTCCTCTATACCCAAATCTTACAAACAAGCCCCTGAGCCCAGTTAATTGCCCAACCTCTATGGGTAAGTGCTCTATCTTATCTCCAAGACGAAGCACTTTAAGTCTCTTGAGATGTCCTATTTGAGATGGACAACTACACAACCTTGAACCCATTGCATATAACCCTTGAAGGCAAACAAGACCTGAAATGGATGGTGGTAAATCAGCTATACCAGTACCTGATATCTCTAGAACTCAAAGGTAATGCATGTGCTGAAAGAAGGACTCGTGGATTCTCCTTTGTATCTCCACTGAGTAATCTAAACCTTCAGAAACAACTTCTTGAAACAGATCCCATGCCTCTTCCTCAGACAAGACATCCACCTTGATCTCTTTGTTAACTTCCATTTTAATACAAACTCTTAAGGATCGAGTAGTTAATACTATCTTGGATCCATTTCTTCTGCTGTGGGTAGGGAACCCTACAGCTTCTAAGTCGACTTTATCCCACAAATCATCCAACAGTAACAACCACTTCTTATTCTCCAACTTTCCTAGTATTTGCCTTCTCATAGTTGTGCAATGAAGCTCTTCATTGCTTTTAGGATTCATATCCAAAACCAAACTTTTAGCTATTTGATTTTGAATCTTTCTCACATCCCCATCTTTGGACACAGTTACCCAAATAACGATTTCAAACATATTTCTAATTTCCGGTAGATTATTCAACATCTTCACTACCGTCGTCTTGCCCACCCCTCCCATTCCCCATACTCCAATCTTCCAAAATTTGTCATTTTTGAGGCATTCCTGTATCTTCTGTACAGTACGCTCACTTGAAGGCCCTCTTTTCATTATGCGCTCAACACTCAACTTCCTGTAGTGCTGTACCAAAGTATGTAAAATATATAGGATTAATATTAAATAATAATCAGTTAAAATGATTTATAATAGGGGTTGATTGTGATGCCAAAATGACATGATACGGAAAAATCTTATAACCAACCAACATTATCATAAAATTAGGTAGTATTCATCAGAAGTCAAGGGGCTTGATTGGGCAAAGCTAATGCTAGTATCATGTTTTTTTTATTTGGCATCCTAGATTTACCCCTTTCTAAAGAAATTAAATAAGGGTTAATCACTTATATATACTTTGTATATTTAAGAAATTACTTAAATGCCCCTGAACTTTCAAAACCTATTTACGTATACCTTGGGTTAAGTCTAATATAAAAGACAAAAATATCCTTAGCTGTACATTAAATTTTCAAAATATGCCATTTTCTTAAAAAAATAAAACATAGTGGCTTCTATCTAAAAGTTAGATAATTTGGATTTGAAAATATAGTTATTTATGAACCAAAATAGATAAAATGATAATGCTGAACAACTCTGAAATCTGAATGATTCAAAGTTGCCTTCAGTTTTTTTTTTATTGTTATCGAGATGTTACGGGCTGAAGCTTTTTCTGTTCTGCTTTAATTTAGGGTTTTGCTCGTATTATCACAATGGGACCATGGATGGGCTGATTGACACTAACTATTCGTTCGTTGCTGACAAGGAAAAAGGAGATGAGGACGCGAGGTTCAAGGAAATTTATTGCGGGATCTGTCACTGCCACCTTCATTCTCTTACGCTCAGTTTAGAAGAAGTACAGATACCTATTTATATAATGTAAAACCTTCATTTTGTATTATTTTGTATATGTTTGCATAATATATATTTGTGTTTATATTCCTCCCAAACTGATCCTTAAAAACCAATGTGACAATTCTATTTACCCTATGGTCCTTGGGCAAGAACTCATTCTTCTCCAGTTCTCCTCCTCCTCCTCCTCCTCCACTCTTCAGCTATTCAGCTTTAACTTTGTTGAGGCTTCCCTATTATTTTTGCTTTTTATTTGTTGGATGTGACACCGTGTGCTTCAGGTATGAGTTGCACCACATTCTTGATTCCCGTGATGACACGAACTGAGCCACCCTCACTGTGGGTGAGAGCCGGAATACCCTCATATACTACTACCAGCCTTCCTCTGAGTTAGTCTGGAGATTCTAACTCACACACAGGCGTGCGTCTGTGTTTTTTTTTTTTCGTCTTTGGTTGGCCAAGAGGAGCGATAAGTGTAGGAACGTCTGTGTTTTTTATTTTCCTTGAGTTTATTAGGCTGCGTTTGGAAATGATGCAAATAGAGCATAAATCCCGGTTGAGGGTAAATTTGCATTTTGGTTTACTTTTGTTTGTATTTGACAACATTACATTTATCATTGATAAATGACAGAAATTACATATATTTATATCGATAATAAGATGTAAAAGTACATTAAAAAAGAATTAAATTTACATTCAAGTGGACTTTTGATAAAAAAAGACATGCTTTATTGAAATTTGTATTTGCATCCATTACAGGTAAAAGTCTATTTGGTAAGAAGGTAAATTTGTTAGTGTAAAATTAACCAAATTTTACAATTTATATAAACTGTTTTACACTACATATTTACATTCACACTTATTTGTATCGTTTCCAAACGCAGCCTTAGACTCAGTTTGGAAGGAGTACAAATGCAAATATGTAGACTGCAAAACCTTATATTTTGTATTATTTTGTATGTATTTACACTTTATATATTTATATTTATATTCCTTCCAAATTGAGCCTTAGAGATGATTTAAGAGGCAACTTATAGGTTCTAGTCTTTTACTATCATCTGTCTCTTTAGCATAGAAAATTTTTTTCTAGGTTTTGGTTTTGCAATATTAGTATTATAAAAACATTTGCAGTAACAGCACTAAATGGTGCACTAACCGGTGGTCCTATATATGTTGTGGGGCCAATCAACTAGGCATGCATAAGTAGTTTACGAAAATTTAGGGTATATAGGAGTAATTTCTCAATTATACATGGTATATATAAGTAATTAATCCATTAAATAATTAATTTTTGATATATTTAAAGAATTTATAATATGATTTAATAGTTAATTTCTCTGAGGGCATTTCTTACCCAGAAAAACATTAAAAACGGCTGAATTCGTTGTCGGGCTGTGTTTGGTTGTAATGCAAATAAATTTATACTGATGCAAAACCATGACAGTGAAAATGATTTGAGTGTAAATTCAACCTATTTTTGCTTCGAATTTTAGCTTATTTTATTCGATTGCTGTACAAATAAAGTAAATTAAGACATAAGCAAAATAAAATAAAATCCAAAACAAAATTAAACAAGAATTGCATTCTTTATATTTGCACTTTCATGCATTTATACTAGTATAAATAAATTTATACTGCAACCAAACAGAGCCTTAGCACAAATTCAAATGCACTCCCCACAGAGGAATTCACATCTGTGCCCCACAACGTCCCACGGCACATCCCCGCCGTGCATTGGGAACATCGATGATAGTACCAGTCCCGACAATGTCATCATCGGAAGATGTTCCAATTACATGGCGGGGATGTGCTGTGGGACACTGTGGGGCGCAGATCTGAACTCCCGCAGATGCCTTTGGGATTGGCCACACATGCCCCACATGGAGATCGGATTCAGTCCTGGTCAAAACCCATTGGGATTGGCCATTTTGAACGGTTTCTCTTGCTACAGCTTGCATCTCAACAAACTATTGAGAGCAATTACTCTTTTACCCCACCATGGTAATGTGTCATGCCTAAACGGCCAAAGTTTTTCCGTTCTAAAAAGGACTTTTGATGGCTAATATGGTCAAAACATTTACTAAATAGAAATTACCATGGTTGTGGGTCTCAAATATGAGCTATGATCGATCCTTCGTATCTTCTAAAAGTTTTTCTTCTTTTACTGAATCAACCTTGATGGTTCAACTGCTCAACCCTGACTTGCCAATCCTATTAGGGGTGAGCATGAATCGGGTTGGTTCGATTCCACTCTCTGTTAATATCTGTTTTGGTTTTAGCCGTGCAGTTCTAAGGTTGGTTCGAGAGTTTACTCATAAAACCTATTCTTTTAAGGCTGTATTTGGTTTGAAGTAAAAAGTAAGGAAACCTTTACAAATTTGTATAGGTTTTCCTATCTTTCGTTTCCTTTTCCTACTTTTTTTCTTCAAATCAATCATAGTCTCAAAAAAATAATGATATACTATTTTTTATTTTTTTCCCTTTCAAAGCTTTGACCTTGGATAATAAACTATCATAAACATTCCACATTTTAAATCCATATAATCTCTAAGTTTGATTGGTTCATAATAATGCTTTTCTTATAGATATATATGATTGATTATAAATCATAATAATAAAATATTTAACCTTCAAATTTAATAATAACAATTTAAATAATTTTTTTATGATAAAACAATGGAATTTGTATACCATTAAATGTCAAGTTGTACTTATAGTAGATGTGTATATAGTATGTATATTCTTGAGTTTAATATGATAATATATATTAATTATTAAATTATGTTAATATAATATTAAGGCATCGTTTGCTTTTCGGTAAGTTACTTATTCGGGTAAATGTAGTTACTTGGGAAACACTTACCCGGGTAAGTGTATTTACCCATGTTCCTTTATTTCTCATGTAAATAATGCAATGACTATTTTAGCCATAAAAATCCATTATTAAAAAGAGCATTTTTGTCCCATTCAAGTGTTGGAAACTTTCCTCTTAGGTGGGAAAGTTATTTACCCACCTACGGGATGGGTATAACTTACCCGGGTAAGCGATACCCAAGAAAATAAACTTTCCCTAGTCCCCACATAAATTTGAAAAAAGAACATGGGATTCTTGGTCAATGGGAACCAAAATCCCATTGACCAACTTTTCCCCCTCTCAAAATACAAAAAAAAGAACGCCCCTTAAGAATTATCAATATTGATGTGGCGCGATCCGGGCACTCCTAGCTGGCGGCTGACAGGCTCCTTGCTGGCAACGAGCGGCACCTGAGAAGATGAAAGGAAGGATTCCCAGGGGTTTTCCCGGTGGGAATACTCCGATGCTTAAGTTAGTACTGTGTATGGAAGTAAAGAGGGCAAATGAAAGATAAGAGTGGAGGTCGCGCTTATCACTATATTCGAGAGGTTGGAGGTCTCCAGGGAGTTTCTCCTCTGCCCTGGGGGCTTTTATAGGAGCGCTCTTGCAAGATCGGGCATAACAGACACTGGGCTCCTGTATG